AAATAAGTCATTTCATCTACCAAAATACTTTATTGAACTACAAACTTTTTCCACACAAGCAAATTCGCTACATAATAGACTTTTGTAGAAGGAGAATTGCATTGCATTTCAAAATTTGTTTTTATCATGTACTAATCTATCTTTTTCAAAAACTACACATATACAAGATATAAATGCTGTAGCCTTTTCTACTCAAATTACTTCAAACTTTCAAGAAATCCATCTATGGTAAGAATGTATGGGCTATGTGAATATTCCAACAATTTATCGTATGAATAATTGCAGCAATTTCTAAGTTTTCAGATTAAATTATAATGATGTGCTCTCTCATTCCTGCAAAAGATGCATGAAGAATGAATAACACAAATTTGTGTACAAACAAGATCCTACAAAACAATGATCAACAATTCTAAGGCAGTTAATTCATGGTGCCGTTTCAAGAAAGAAAACTCAAACTCCTTCTTAAAATAGATCATTATATTACATCTTATACAAGGATGATAGAACTACATATAAATTTGTTCATTTTGCTAAATAAAAGTTTGAAGCTTTTGGATCCTTTAAACATGTTGTCAGTCTTATCAAACGTGACACTAGCAACAATGTCCTTGTTTTATGAACTTATCATGGACAAAAAATTTGTAATACAAATTTTGACAATTTTATCAATGAAAATCATATTGAATGGCAAACAAGTATTTGCTTATATGCCGCAACAAAATGGCTATATTCAACATGATAATCACATCGTCTTTGAAATGGCTCTCTACTTACTTTAAGCTAAAGATCTTCTTCCAAAATTATAGGCCAAGGTAGTTCATATGGTAGTTTATTAACTTAATTGCACCATCAATTGTCGAGTTGGTGGTATTATATCCTATGAGTTATGGTTCAAAAAAAAACCCACAATGAAACACTATCAAATTTTTAGTTCATTATCATGGCTTTTTATTAATAATCAAATACATACAAAAATGGACTCAAAGAGCATCCAGACTTATTTGTTGAATATTCTAAAATTAGTTAGTTATATAGATTATAGAATCCACTCACAAACAAAAAACTCAAAAGCTTAGATTATATTATTGATGAAGCATCTAAAAAATACAGGATTGATACTCTACCAAACTTTGATTGGAATAGCCATGCATATCTACTTATTCAATCCATGTTGCATTATACTTCTCAATCTTAGCTTGTTATAGCTATGCAAGCTTCTGAAACCAACAAAACTTCTTCTTATAACCACCAACTAAATTTTGACTTTGTAGCAAGAGCTTCTTCAAAAAATTAAACTTAGAAATTTTAAAATTCATCCAAGAATGATTCTATGTAAGAAAAACGATCTTTATCTCAATCAATGGGAGGTCTTATTCCATCAATAGGAGTTTCTCCTTATGCAAGATCAAATCTCGTGACTAATTTGAACAATGGAAGATTCCAATAAGTTAGAGGTCAATCATTAGTACCTAATGTTGATGTCAATCCATCCATTTTCACATACCATTTATAATGAGATTCTACCACAAAACCTACTAGCTAAAGTACCTTTGAGACCTTGCTATAAATCCATACAAGAGCTTTTGCTTAATACTCCAAAGATTGATAACTTCTCCAAAAATTCAAATTCATTGTAAGATATGTTCCATATTGAATCTCCAATCTTGCAACCACTGTGAACTAAAACCATCTCTTTTTCTCATGCATTTCTAGCATCAGTGGGAGCTTTCATGCATGAACCTCAATCATATGAAGAAGCAATATCTTCTTCAATTTCAATGTCATAGAAATAAGCAATGGGCCATGATAATCAGTCATTAATGGATAATAATACATAGGATTTAGTTCCAAAACCACCACAACAAAAACTCATTTGCAATAAATGAGTGTATAAAGTAAAATATAAGTCACATGGAAATATTGAAAAGTACAAACCATGCTTGTATGCAAAGGGATTCATTCAAAAGCCAAGAATAGATTTTACAAAGATATATTCACCGGTAATCTATTATGATTCTATCAAAGCTACTTTTGAAATTGCCATGGCTAAAGGGATGCAACTCCAATAATTTGACATTGGCATGCTTTTTTTAAACGGGGATTTAATTGAAGAAATATATATATATATATGTGTGTGTGTGTGTGTGTATGAGTCTCATAGCTATGAGGATCCAACAAAACCTATTCACTATTGCCGAGTGAAAAAAGAACCTTTACGGTTTAAAACAATCTACATAACAATGGAATATTAAGATCTCAAGATTTCTAAAACAATTTCAATTACTTGTAACTAAGGTTGAGTCTTGTGTCTATTGCAACCATAGAGAATTACACACCATCATTGGAATTTATGTAGATGACAAAATCATCATTTCATTACTACCTACCTATATTAATGAGATTTTACAATACTTGCAAATTACATTTTATGTTATAACAAGAACAATGGATTACTTTTTTGGATTTAAAGTGGAACATTGCTTCATTATTGGATCAATTTTTCTACATCAAAAATCACATATAGATGATGTGCTCTTATGTATCAGCCTCTTAGATGCACACAATGTTTCAACACCAGTAGACATATATGCAAAACTCTAAAAGAACAATGATCTAACTAATGCAGAGGTACATGTTCCATATCGTCAAGTTGTGGATTATTTAATATATGCAACTATTATTATGAGACCAAATAATTGATACAAAGTCAATAAGGTGTTCTTATTTCAAGACAGACCTCATCAAAGCCATTGGACAACTGTTAAACGGATCATGTAATTTTTAAAAAACAAAAATAAAAATAAATAAATAAATCATACAATTGTATAGATTATACTATGCAATAGAAAGAGCACCTCTACAACTCATCAACTATGCTAATGCTGTTTTTGAAGGAAAGTTGGACAATAGAATAAAAAAAACTTATTTCATATATATGTATAGAAACAAAGCCATTGCTTTGTAGAGCCGCAAGAAAGGATGCATGATATCATCAACCATTATGGTAAAATTAGTAGCACTTGAAAAATCTACAAAGAAAATAACATGGCTTTATCGACTTTTGAATTCATTGCAACAACCATAGAAATTACCAACAACCATCTATTGCAATTATCAAACAACCATTGTCCTTGTAAAAAATCTTGAGTACCATCATAGAACAAAACATATTGATATGAAGTATTTTTCAATTAGAAAGTGTTACAAAAATCAGACCATGGATTTCCAATATATTCACACAACAAACCAAATTGCAAACATGGTTACAAAACCTCCACCTTAGGACACTTTCCAACACCTTTGATAATTGCTAGGCCTTCAACTATTCCACAAGGATGAGTGAAAGACACAAAATTAGCATTCTTTGTAGAATGGTTGTGGATAAGTGGGAGTATTGGATGTATATCCATTTTCATTCTACATCCAAATTTTACATCCATTGTAACCTCAATTGCTTGTAGAGATTCAATGGATATTGGATTTAGTTTGAAAAAAAATAATTAGAGAGTATCTATGAGTTTTAAAACTACGTTGTCACTAGAAAACTTGTTTTGAACTCATGTATATTTGTTTGTCATTAATAAAGATCTAGTTGCTACATTAGAATATGCTTGTATAAGAATGTAAGAAAATCTTTTAATACCAATTTATTTGCTTCATCATACAACCACTATCCACAATCTCAATAGAACAAAAAGCATTTCGGGCTTTGGCTTTGGAGGCCCTTTCTGTGCCTTGAAGTGGCTTCCAAACATTTTTCCAAAGGTGTGTGTGTGTGTACAAACTCTAAGAATCCCTAGCATTGTGATTGATGATTTCCATTCACTCTTTAGTCTATCTTGTCATGTGTGCAATCACATGCTGAAATTTGTGTGTGGAGCCAATCCATTGTGTGTGTGCAAGCCTTGTTTCTTCCACTCATGCCTTTGTCAAGGCAGCAACGAATGACACCATTCCAACATCCCATTTAGGTCCAACACTTTTTAAAACTTTTCCAAAGTTGTCAAATAAATAAACAAGTATAGGACAAATCATAACCAGGGATGCTTGAGATAAACCTACTACCAGTTGTTCTGGGTTGCCCCACAAATCATGTTTCAACTTGGATGGAATCCAAATTGGATCTCACAGTCCCACCCATTCCTCCTCCTCCTCACACCATGCACAAGCACAACGTAATGCGAAATTTTGGGTTCCCTCGCCTTATTTGTTCCGCAACACAACACATTCCTGCGAGTCGTTCGGTTTGGGAACCACCTCACCTCCCGGCAACGTTTCAGCTGGCTTCGGCTACGCTCGGACAATCACCGCCGGATTCAGTGGAGCAAGGGAGGGGGACCCGTGCTCCAAAGCCTTGCTCCAACTCATCGTTCCCCCAGCGTCCTAGCTGTCCAAGCGTCGGAGGCCGTGAGGGAACCCTCAAACTACAGTTTGCGCTGGCCCATCCCCGGAAGGTCAAACGCAAGGGCCTGCTTTCCTCATCCAGCTGGAGTGGAGTGAGAGGTTGACGAATCGTGCGCATTATCGTCGCAAGTGTCCCTACCTTTTGCATTTCGCAAGGAGGGGGGGTCTGCGGAGATTGCACACTGTTCTCCTTGGGGGGAGGGGGGGCATCGTCCAATTCCCCACGCTCCCACCATTCAGACCTTGAGCTCTGCGTGCCTAGCTCAGCGGATGGATAGAGAGATTTCGACACACAGGGTCGGATGCGGAGAGCGAGAATATTCCTCGGGCAGGACCAATCGCAACCTTGGATCGCAAAGTCCACGGAGCAGTTCGTTGACCGGGCTCTCGACTCATGGAACCACCCTTGCCTTTCCGCTTCCACTAGTCAACTGCGGTAGCCGCTGCTTCGCTAAGACGGGGTATGGCGTCCGGTAGGTCCGGGCGCCTCACGATATGCTTTGTCGTCGAAGCGAGGGCGAGGAGGGCATGGAGCTGGCAGCAGCTGTGATCCAGCGCCCTGGACAGAGTTCTAACCTCGGCCGCCAAGCAGATTACTGGACGAGATCCGGACGGGTCAGCCCGTTGAGGGCGTTCAGTGGTCAAACAGGGCAGCCCCCCATGCAACTGTCTGCATGCTCCGGGGACTCCTGGTAGCGATCCTCGACTGGCATGCCCGAGCGAGGTGCCCAGTCGAGTATGTAAACGAGTGGTTCGGTCGCCACAGAACCGTATCGTTTCCGACTGCAAGCATTTGCGGTGAGGTTGGAACCACAGCCTGAGCTCCTCAGTCCAAAAGCCCGAGCAACCCCGACAGGGAAGTGGCCGAGATCACTGGTTGCGGACTCCCAATTCGCTGAGAACACGTCCACTGCGGGGCCGCCCAGCTTCAGCTCCATTTCCAGCTTCAGCTCCAGAACCAGCACTAGCACCAGCGCTGCACAACTTCGGGCATCGAAGCAAGTCAATCCTCGGAACCGGCGACATGGGGGGCGGGCCAACAGCCATGCTGTCAGTTTTGGCGCTGCTTGTGGCGTCTCTTGCAGCTCTGAGCACGACGGTGCAGGCGCAGCTGGTGGAGAACTTTTACAGGACCAGCTGCCCCAGTGCCGAGACTGTCATCACCTCGGCTGTGAATTCCGCGCTGAACAGGCGTGCAGCTTCTGCCGCGGGCGTTCTTCGCATCCACTTCCACGACTGCTTCGTCCACGTAAGTTGCATCCCATGATCACCTATCCATGAACTTCTGCCCCTCGCGACATGCCGTCGCGTACATTGGAGGGCACAGTGTCCGTGGACCCTCACAGTGGCGCAATCACCGGCGCGCGTACGGCATTGTTGCTGCCTCGTGCATGCATGTGGTGTTGCAGCGCATTCGCTCACGCAAATCATGTTCAACGTAATTTGGTGCAGGGATGTGACGCATCTGTGCTCATCGACTCTCCCTCGGAGAAAGACGCCCCACCCAACGGGAGCCTGCAGGGGTTCGAAGTCATCGATGCTGCCAAAACGGCCATTGAAAAGCGATGCCCTGGCATCGTCTCGTGCGCAGACATCACGGCCATGGCGTCTCAAATTGCAGTGAAAAAGGTACTCACTCAGAGAGCACAATGCTGTCAGTCCTGATGGCCACACGCCCTCGCCCCAACTCCGTCCTGAGAATCCTTGGGACGGGATCCGGCTTTTCAAAGCCTTTCAAGGATTGCTTGCTGCATGCGGTGTGTTGGCCTGGATAAGTACATGCGATCCGGCGTGCTGTATAAACTCTAACCCCGAATTCCCTGCCGGACGTTTGCAGTTGTCCGGAGGAAAGATCACGTGGAAAGTCCCCTTGGGACGCAGAGACGGGCTGGTATCTTCCGCTGCCGACGTTGCCGGCAAACTGCCCGCCCCAACGGCCAATGTGGCCACGCTCAAGTCCATCTTCGCAGGCGTGGGCCTCACCACCGAGGAGATGGTCGTGTTGTCGGGCGCGCACAGCGTCGGTGTGGCGTCGTGCCGTGCAGTCCAGAACCGTCTCACCACTCCCCCAGACGCCACCTTGGATCCCACGTACGCCCAGGCGTTGCAGAGGCAGTGCCCCGCAGGCAGCCCCAACAATGTGAACCTGGACGTCACCACCCCCACCAGGCTGGACGAGGTCTACTTCAAGAACCTGCAAGCGAGGAAGGGGCTGCTCACGTCCGACCAGGTGCTGCACGAGGACCCCGAAACCAAGCCCATGGTTGCGAAGCACACCAGCCAGGGGGTGTTCAACGAGGCTTTTAAGAACGCGATGAGGAAGATGAGCGACATCGGCGTGCTGACTGGCAGTGCGGGCGAGATCCGGGCGAACTGCCACCGCTTCAACGCCTAGCCGGTGGACGCTGCACGCCGCGGCCACCACTGCAAGCAATGTGAAATCACGCCCTCAACGACAACGTCGAAGGCGTTGCCCACAAACTTTCTAGTTGGGGTAGTTGGGGTAGTGCAAGCGCGCCCGCGACCTCAGTCCACTGCTGCACGCCGTGGAGGCGAGATTCCATCCAATCCGGGGCTCGCATGGAGCAAGACGATGAGGTGATCCGTAGGAATTGCTGTTTGTCAGTGTGTGTACTTGGCGGCTTAGATGCGCGCACACATGCAGCTGGAACCGAGAGGATTTGGCGTTTTAATCAGCATTTTCTCACATATGCCTGCCTTGCCGACGTTGCCGACATACAGCAGGGTGTAGGGTCTGGATATATTTTTAAAAACTGATTAGTTTTAGAAATTCTAAAATTGATGTTGGAAAGAATCCAAAAGCTAAACAAAATGATTGAATTTATGGTACGTCAAGATATATGGAATTTGAAAGAATTAAAAAAAATTCTTTTGAATCAACAAAAGTAGGTCTTTTTCAAGCACATTTTTCTTTATTTGCAATGATAATGATATGCTATAAAATTCTTTTAATAAGAGATCCATTTGATGGTATGTATAAAATTAAGAATACAATTAAAAAAATCAAAATCAAAACGAAATGGAGAATAAAATAAAAACTATTAGATTTTTACTTTAAATTGTGAAGACTTGATCCAAATGTTTAAATTATGGTGGAATTTAAATCCTTGACAATATCCAAATTTTTCATATAATTGTAAAAGAACTTGATCATGTTGAAAAAAACAACTTAAATCGAAGAAAAAAATAAAAAAAATAAAAAACTTATATAGTCAAATCTTCTTATTTTAGTACGTTTAGAATAATACTCATGAAGAAATGCCATTACAAGATAGACATGGTGGTTTACCATTTGTAATATTTATACTAATAATTCTTTGAAGTAAATATTAAATTGGTTTAAGCCAACACCAAATTTAGTTGCCAAACAAATTTATTGAGATTGGCAAAACAAAACTATAATTGCTTGCCATCAAAACCCTATAACCCTACCATCAATGGTTGCAAGCAATGCCACAATTGTTGGTTGCATCCCTAATGTCTTAAATACAACTTCTTTATTTGCCAAATATTTGGCAAATGTTGCCAAAGGAATCCAATCCTTAATTTCCACCTTTGTTTCTTGTCTCATATAAATATTCACCAAATGCAAAAGGTGGCACCAATTTGCCAATGCATTACACAAGCAAAATTGGAATGAAGTGTAGACATGTGCATGTCATGGACATACGCATATAAGCTAGTAATTACATGTATAAATAGGTAGAAGTAAGTAAAAGTAGGTAAAAGTAAGTTAATTTTTTAGTATTTGCTATGGAAGCTTTTTAGAAGCTTCATAGACGTTGCTTTGACTTTATAGGTGTCTTTAATTGACTTTTTGGATTAGAAACGTGGTCAACAAGTTGGCCATATGCTTCACATGTTGTTAGCTTGAAGACCCAGCTAACTATGTGGTCCACACGTAGAAAAACTTGCCTTGTAAGTCAAAGCATGTATCCTACAAAGTCAACACATATTGGAGGTCCTATAGAACGTCACCACGTAGCCCCTAATTGGATAGTATATATAGAGACAAGAGTGAAGCCTTCTTCACTCTTGTCAACTCCTTTCTTGCTTCTAATCTAGTTTCAAGGGTCTCTAGTTTTCTTGGCTTTTGGCAATAGCCATTCTAGTTTCTTTCTTAATATACATATCAAATTATTTCTATTTTTTCATCTTTCTTTGAGAGAAGTCTCACTTGTTTATTTATTTTTTATCATGTTCTTGTCCTTGATAGTGCATTGCAATGCAAACAGCTTCTACAACATGCTAAATATTAATATAGCGGATGCTTGCTTGTTTTGGATTTGGTGGAATTGGAAGTTGCTAGTTTGGTTTGAAAAGTAAACAATTGTATATGAATATTCACAACATTGTACATTTACACTTGTTGGAAGTATGTCCATACACATTCTACATCTAGATTCTACATCCATTATTACCATGATTACTTCTAGAGATTCAAGAGAGAATGGATTAGTTTGAACGGAACAATTAGAGAGTGTCTGTGTATTTTAGAACTGTGTTGTCACTAGAAAACTTGCTTTAAATTGGTGTATATTTATTTGTGATTAATAAAGATCTAATTGCTATATTGGAATATGCTTGCATAAGAACATAAGAAAATCTTTTAAGTTATGGATTTGTTCCAACAAGTATGTCACAAATTAATCTAGAATAATATCATAGTTTACATTCTTATCTATTTTAGACTCACAATCATTTATTGTGATTCTTTTTATTTTTTATTTTTAGAAATTAACACTCTATTTTTTATTCATTTTTATAGAAATTATAGCAATATGGAAAAACAAGACAAGATTCTTGTAAAGATGTTTGATGGTAGTCAATTCTCTATGAGGAAATATCACATAGAAATCATTTTTGAAGCTAAAAAAGTACTTTAGGTTATTCATGGTCATGAAAAGCAATCGATATTTGATTCAACTTTAATTTCTCTTGATGGACAAGCTCAAATAGATACTTGGGATGAAAAAAATACAAATGCATATATATTTACTAGCAAGTCTATTATACAAAAAGTGCTAGAAAAACTAACTAGATGTCCTATTGCTACTACAACGTGGCAAAAGTTGTGTAGCCTTCGCTTAAAGAAGACTCTTAAAAGTAATTTTTGCTCTTCAAAGAAAAATTCTCAACTACGAGATGTAGATAATTGATGGTATTTTGACATATACATAAAACATCTCTAATATGACTATGATACTAGTAAATCTTTGACATACTATTAAAAGATTTAGAGGTTTTATCATATTTTGGATGTTTTTGGGAACTTAAGACTTATATATTTGGTATAATAGCACCTAAAAGTGTTATATATATATATATATATATATATATATATATATAAACATGGTCTTCCTAATCTCAAGACTTGATTGAGCAATTAAAGGTAGCTAAGAGCCCAATGCTTTCTTGAGGCAAACTCTCTCTATCCCAACAATGTTTTAGTTGGCTTCAACTATGCTTAGACAATTACCGCCTAATTCAATGGAGAAAGAGACAAGGATTTATGCTCCAAAGCTTTATTCCAAGTAATCATTTTCCAAGCATCCTAGTTCTCCAAGTATTGGAGCTTGTGAGAGAATCCTCAAATTATAGTTTGTGCTCGTCGATCCTCACAAGGCCAAATCTAAGGGCCTTCTTTTCTCATCCATCTAGAATGGAGTGAGAGGTTGACAAATTGTACATATTATCATCTCAAGTATCTCTACCTTTTACATTTTACCAAGAAAGGAGGTCTATAGAGCTTGCATACTATTTTCTTGAGGTTTTTATTCACATTCTTAATGTTGCAAAAATATTAATAAGTCAAATTTACAAATTCAATTGTTTGAATTTGTTGTGAAAATAGGATGTTTTAAATAAATGCACATCAAATCTTTTTTATATATGCTCCAAATTCATTTTATACCCAAAAAGATAGTATATCTACTTTTAATTTATGTTTAGTTGTACAAAGGTTAGAAATGCAAATTACGTCTAAGAATTGAATATGATTATTTTTATGAACTCGTGTCTATTCTAAGTATAAAGAATCTCCACAATTGCTGCAAATATCAAACTTCACAAAACAACCAATTAGTCAAGAGTCTCTATCTTTCCTAGATGTGCATATAGCAATTTGGAATTGTGTAAAGAAACTAGAGGTGTGTATCAAGTCTAAGTTATATTACAGTTGTTGTGTACTGATTTTTTTCACCCACACGTTTATTATAGCACTCCAAAGTTTTTCAAGTAAATTTAGAAAAGATTACAATAAAAGATGATTAAAATGGACCTATCAATAGTTTTGGATTGCTCCACAGATCTGGATGGAATCCATGTTTGATCTCCATGTTCCACTATTTCCTCTTCTTTTGCCTCCTCATCATAAATCATGCATAAGTATCACAGAACATAAAACTTTGAAAACTCATAACTTATTCATTCTTGCCACGCAGATATTCATAGCTAATTAATCTGATGTAAAACTTTGGATACTCTCAACTTATTTCTTCTTGCCATAAAGCACTTCATAGCTAGTTTGGCTACTACACAAGTGTCCAGGTAAGAGATCTACCTCTTCTTTCAAATTCGAAGCTCCAAACAAAAATAAGTTGAAAAGATAATCTTATATCAAATCACAAAAAGTATTATTTTCATATCCCATCATGCACGTTGTAGATTAAATACAAATTTCTCCAATTTGAATCAATTAATATAAATCGTTGTAATTTTAAATAAAGACTTTTTAAATCAATTTTATCCGCACAAGAAAACATTTATCGGCTCAAGTGCTTTTTAATGCACAATGTGTGCCATTTTAAGATGATTCTTTTCTAGTATAATAGATTCCTTGCAAAGTCCCAAAATAGTTTGGTAATATTTGTTTTTCAGTATACCTTCCTTGTGCTCTAGCTTCTGTTCGCACCCATTTCATGCAAATGATTGAATGAAAGAAAATCCACCCACGGGTCTCAATTTGCTAAAAAAATATCATTTTCTTGAAGATTACGTTACAAAGATGTATTTTAAGTCTTAAAATGAATCAGAACGAGAGTATATATGCTTGAGGAGTTTTTCCGTACATACCCTTCAAGCTCGACATTTTTGATTTGAAGACTTCAAACCTACACAAATCCACCATTTTGATTGATTGTTAATCCTTACTAGAACTTGAAAAAATATCAACGTCCATTCAATGAGTGCAAAGTGAAAACCTTCCATACACCCTCGATGTACAACCTTATATGCATAGTCATTCAAATTACAACTGCATGTTCTTTGGAATCAGATTTAAAGTTCCCTAATGTTACCTTCTCATTTGGTGGTTTTCATAACAGAGTTCTTTGGAATTGTTTGTGAAAATCAATCATACTCATACATAAACAACTATTCCTCATGTCATTCGTAGTTTAAACTATATATATATATAGATAAAGCTAAAGGGCTATCATGGTTACCTCCAGTTAATTTCATGGCCCCGTTGACAGATGCAAGCCACTCCAAGAAATTCACTCTGTCTGCGTTCATCGAGAGTTGACAATTCATTGAATGTACCATTTCCAAAATTGCATAAAGGGCAGCATTCTTGGTTCCACCGAGGATACTGCCCAGAACGTTTAAGATCGCTTTTAATTCCTTTCCTTTGTTTAGCTCAAGTACAGTAACTGAACTTCCTGAATGAACAACTTTGGTGCCGTGCACCAGATTTGCATATTGATTCTCTCAAATTTGCCGTATGAAATCCTTCATGCGAATAAGAACTATAGGAACAATGTCCCAGGATCTACCACAAAAGCATCTGTACACAGCATGTTCTTGACCTGCCGAAGTACAGCAGAATAAAAAATCAGTATAACAATACACATGACGTACAGCAGTTGACAAAGAGTTGAAGCTATGGAGGAGAGGTGTGCCAACAGCTGTAATGAGAGTTACTCAGTGAGCATATATGAGGAAAAGATCCAGATAAACTTCGAAAATATTAACCACCGGTCTTAGTAGAACAAGAGTACTGTCGAAACCACCACCCATACCGGTTGAGGGAAATCGAGTCAAATTCAGATGCTTTGATAGAAGAGCGCAGTGAGTATGCACCAGCCGATTGCAGGATCCACAAAATAGCCCCTTACATGTAATAAAATCTTCTTTACAAGGTTCAATGTCCTGCACATTAGAACATACTAATAATCAACTGAAGAGTTTCTTTTATCCAAGCATCAACTTAACCATCTACTGTCCAACGAAACCTAGGTAACAAGAACAGGAATCTATGGAAATTCCCAACAAGAATAAGGAGAAATATATCTAAATCACTCCAAGAAAATGATAATTAGATCTTCAGATAGATGATTGTCTCACCGGGCAGCAATCATAGAATTTTTTACTCATGTAGGGCAATGTAGCTGCTCCAATGGAATGATTCTCGCGACTGTAAGACGAGGATACTTCTCTCACACTAACTGGTTCGCTGTTTAAACGGTTCCTAAAGGAGCTTTCGGTAGGCACACCACCATGCCGATTACCAGGAAGATGCACAACATTTCCGATACTGGAGGGTGTCGCAACCATATTCATATTACCCAACCCTCCTCGCCTCAATGATTGAGTATGAGCCATTTCAAACGTCTGTGCATCGCCTACTCCACCGGTATGCTGAACTCTTATGATAGGATCGGCACTTGAATTGCCAGTTTGAGAATATTTATGAACTGTTTGCCTGGTGCCACCTGGTCCAGCTATAAATGGATCAACTGTGAAATGATAACCCTGGTTGTGTATCTGTCCAGGATAAGATGATCTGTCGCCAAGTAGAACCCCAGCTCTAGAACCTCTGTTCACATGAACGACGCTCTGCCTCTGCGAAGGAGCGATCGGGGACAGTGGGTCCAGCTGAGTGTTGTTATCAAGATTTCTATTGAAAGTTTTCCCAACCGTCTCGGTTCTGAACAGTCTATCACTTACTGAACTTGGCGGGATACTGCGTGCTGGAGGTACATTCGCATCATCATCATCATCATCATCCAAGATAATTATATCTTCGAATAGAGATTGATTTTTTGTAAAATTGGCTTGTCCACCAACTGTTCTGGAATCTGGAGGGGCTTGACAGCCATCTAAAGCTGCAACTGTCCCTGCACTGGCTTGAATATTGGTGTCATTGTAAGCAACCTCAAGAATTCGGTGACTGAGTGCCCGTGCGGATGCCGAATCTTGTGTTGCACCCCCAGCAGTTGTCGAAGACTTGTTAGAACCGGAACATGGCTGTCCAACTTCATTAATTAACGTTAAACCTGGCACATTTAACCTTTCTGTAGAATAACTTGGATTGATAGGTTTCTCATGTAGGACTGTCCGCTCAGCATGAGTTTCAATGCTTGAATCACTCCTTTTACTGGATAATTCAAATTCGATCATCAACTTTACAAGCGCTTTCTTGCAGCGAGTTATAATTTTGCGTGCAGCATGTACCTCAACATCAGTCTTCCAGTGACCTATGTAAATCTCCTCACCAAGTTTTCCAGAGCTGAGAAGTATCTTCTTCAAATCGCCATCAGCTACAACTTCAAAGTGCATCCTTGATTTGATAAAAAAATTTATCCGCTGAACGACGTCAAGTCCTTGTGAAACCAACCCAGGGTGCGGCGGGGAACAACATAAGCCTCGCCACAACGCCGTCCTAGCTTGAGTGGCTACTTCTTTCTCCTCCTTAGTCTCGAAGTTATCCATAGAAATACGATCAAGTGCATCCTTTCCAGAAAGAAACTTCGTAAAATCATGAATCGGTAAGTGATGTGCACTGCCAACTGCTGCTGCAACTGTTGGCAGTTCAGACACCTCCGATTTGACAGGAAAATTGTCCCGATTGTTTCTGTTAAGTAGAACGCCTCTATCTGCAACCACAAGGTTTATGGTACTCGGGGAACTTAAGGGGCCTCTGGTCAGTTTGCGTGAAGGCATTTCTCCATGTGCGTTGCTGCTCCCTATTGTATTTCCCTCCTCTGATTTCGTCCAACTGATTGAAGCATCCGCCTTTGTTGATTTTACTGATAAACCCTGGTTACAACTCTCAACTGCTGTGGTCATCTTCTCGACAGTACAAACACCCTGCTCATCAACCAGGGATGTCTTCCCTAAACTTGAAAAACCATCCGTTTTTCTTCTGTCCTCGTCCATGGAGAGTACCATACTCCTATTCTTTGACTCACCAACACTTAAGCAGGATTCGGAAACGTTGCGTCTAGTGCCTTTCTCGACATTAAAATCCTGCAATTCATTCTCTTCGAGTACGTGCGCAGGTGACAAATGATCTCCATTTGCTTGCTCGCTGAAAGACAAAATTTATTTGAGAAATTAACCCACCAACCGTACAAACGACTAACTGATTTATTTATCTTCTGTACATGAATATATTTATTTTTATGTCGTTTGTGCGAGCGTGTGTATGTAGATGTAAAGAGTTCGATCCCGGGACTGACCTGAGACCCGGGCAACTTGGATGGTTGATATGCGGTCCAACCTTCACTTTGGGGCAGGTTAACATATTAACAACGGCATATGAATTAAGAGCAAGCTCTTTTGTTTGGTAATTACCAATCCAGACGGGTTTGCCGTCTATCGTGTAGGACTTAATACACCAATTTCCATTCGGTTGCAGTTTGATTTTGTCCTGACAATGGTTATCAATTACTTCGGGATCTGCCAACAATACGAGTAAATAATCCAACACTGTAAGCAAAAATCTTACATGTTTGCTGGAAAGAGGGAAAGTACGAGGAAAATATGGATCCATGTGAGAGTTGACATTTCACGGCCGCCAGTAAAGATGACAGTCAAGTGTGAAAAATGCTCTCAGTCTTACTTACCAGCAGGGTCAGCTTTTTGACAAGGAAATTTTCCGCATTAGAAATTTTTTGGGCTTCCCTTAAACTCTTCTTCCAAGGACTCTAACTATAGACAATAAGATGGTTTTCGAAATCGCTCTAATTAATAAAAACATACTAGAAAAAAGAATCAACACAAATTAAGTTCGAAGAGCCTCGAAGACATTTCATCTGTGTTCTTCGATCCGATTAATAACCAAAAACTTGACATAATAAAAACGAGATAGAAGGCTATAACATAAGACAATCAGGATCATCGGAGATCATAGAACACATTGTATAGACAATGTTACATCGTAACAAGCTACTGCAACCAAATAAACAAACCATGATCTGCTGAAAAGGACAGTAGTAAATAAACTTACGAAAAAAACCATCAAAGACAAACTACTAGAAGGTGCTTGGATCTTGTCCGTACGAAGTATAAACACATGCTACCACAAAATAAAGAAAAGAAAAGTATTATCTTACCCAACTTCACAGGTTCAGCAGTTTCATGATTGCTCCCACCTGATAGACGAGACTTCGTTCGAAACTCTCTCGGCGCCAATTCTGCACCTGATTCCTGCAAGTGCATCACCATGCAGCACGAGGTGGGAAACTTTTTTACGGGACCTTCAACTATTCAATGAATGAAAAAGAGAAGTGCCTTCCCAATATCCTACGACATCCAAATAACGACCGATTTCAACGAATTGAACCGCACATATTTCTCCCTCAGTTCTCAGTCACTCCATGCAGACATCATGAATGTGATGATCAACGACATCAGATTACAAATCTTAGAGATGAAATTGTGAGTACGACGGATCAAGTCCCGTCTATTCTACGGACAGACGCATGGTAAGGTTATCAAGCCAAAACCTGCTTGCTGAGCACATCTTCGAGATTCTGTATCTGTAGTCCCACGAATGCAGAATCCACAAGCTTTTCTTTTGTGCGCACGTCGACAACCATCGAATTTTCTGTTTTAGGATACCTCTTCCGAGGTCCAGTATGCTTCAGTCTTGGACGTTTCCCCTTTGAGTTGTTGATAGAGCCTCTCATACGTGAAGGTTCGACTGCAGGAGAGCAGGTCGCGGAATTATGCACACTTTCCAAAACTGCTTTGGTAACATCTAACCTCGCTTTACGGTAAACTTTTTCAGGACCCATATACTCGTCTTGAATCCTCTTGGAATTATTGTTGAGTTTGGAATATGCATTCGCTGATTTCAAAAGTACGTCATTAACAAGTTTGTTGCGCATGAAACTCAACGTCTGAGTTTTGCATGTAACTAAAGTTCTTGCACTTCTGCATTTCTTAATACCCTTGGTGACTGTAAGATTTGAACGGGACTTCATTGTCGCAGAGGGCCTAAGATCATTTGGGACTTCAAACGAACTGGTAACTTCATCATTCTGTTGTGCATAAGTAGCCTGCGCAAGTAAACATGGAAGTCGTTCTGCGGCATTATCCAAATCTGAAGAGGGTACAAAATCACGAGTTGCCTCTACTGCCTCTGTAGGTCCGCTTGATTGTCTCCGTGCTTCAGAGGAAAACACACTCCCATCACTCATCTTCCAAAACACCCTCTTCCACTTCCGCTTATGGCCACCATGCAACTGATCTCCTAAAGAATGAACCCGCTCGATCAGCCTCTCCAAAGCATCAAGATGCTCGTTCAAATCACAATTTCCGGTACTACCCGGTTGACATCCAGATTCCGTATCGTTACGTGCTGTTAAATTCATGCATGGAAAATCTGGTGAGCTACCAAATAAACTTAATCCGTAATGACACAATTTCAAAGCATATTGTGAGGGACAATAAAAATAGAGGTTTGAAATAGACGGAACAGTACAGCAGAGAGCTTCAAACAGATTCTCACAATTCAAACGAGCACTCGCTTCCACCGCTTGCAGTCGTTGTTCGTGTATACTGGAGAGTGCCAGCACGCGTGCCAGAGAATCATTCTCAACTCCAGCGGATGGAGTGCATCCATACTCCTGACACTACACACAGGCACTCGAAGAATGTAAGACAACGAGGCCTAAAAGAAAAAAACAGAATCCGCAAAAATGATTTGCTAATGCTATTTTATACAATTGATGCAAATTGATAACAGAAACAAGAAAAATTGAATGGAAGGTCAACGAAAAACTGACATGCATCTGTAAGGTTAGAGGATTTAGTTGAAACTACCTCGGAGGTCAAAGCGACTTCAGAAATCCTGCTGTCTTGTGCATTCGTTCCAGCTTCACGATTCACAGTGCAATGAGAAGTAGAAATCCTCTTTTCATCATTGGATGGAGTAGTTGGGACACTTATGATCAAGGGTTCGTGCATTAATCCATCCGTCTGAGAGACAAATGTTCCAACTGTTTGATGCGGCACAGCATGACACACGCGCTTCGAACCAGTCCTCAATTTTTCTTTCTTCCGCCTTCTTTTCCTAGAGTACACCAGTTTGACAGCGTGTTGGATTGCAACACAGCTGACATGACTTGACAACTTACGACTACTTAGAGGAGTAGGACCGTCGTCATTCAGGACAGCACCCAGGCCCTCCGTTGGCTGCTCTTGACGTGGATCAAAGGACGCAACATGACCATCCGGAGGGATATCAAAATGATTCAACTCGATACTGACAGGCACATTAGCTACTGTTCTATTGAAATGGAACCCACTTATAGTGACCTCATCAACTGCCACATTTCTGTTACCAACAGGAGATAGCTGTTCAGCTCTGACGTCAGTTAATTCCTCTGCACGTGCTGCAACGAGGTTTGTGTTTAGAGGGTTCTTGATAGCGGCTATATCCTCGGCATGAACAAGTAAGTTCACGCATGGGCTGTCATTACTGGTAGCATCCGTATCCACCTTGGATTCAGGATCACAGAATCCACCTGCATGTCTCCTTGCAATGCATTTACCAGGGCTATCCAGAGCGGTCCTTTCAGCAACGACAAGTTCGATCGTTGTTGAATTGTCTTGAGGGTCTACCACAGCAGTTATAGGTAGCTCAGCAACATTGGCACAAGCAAAGGTCTCGCTCGCGGAGGATCTACTCGTGATTGTGTCAGAACTTCCAATACCAACACTCATCTCAGGTACAACTTTACTCTGATGAACTGCATTGCCTGGAGTGGCTACAAGATTCTCAACTCCATCACCAGATCTAACAGACTTCACATGTGACAGATCCACAGAAGCAGTGACGCTTCCATCATTGACATGAACTGCTGTACCAGTTGTACAACGTTCAGATGTCGGATTGGATTCACCAAAGCCATCAATACTTTCAAACTTTTCTGTTATTTCTCCTGCAAGAGAGAGCACTGCCTGTGAATCCGTTTCGTCCCCTCTTGGACTTGTAGTTACCAACTGCGACTGATCTGCTGCGGCGTCTGAAGAAATAGCATGGGCAATACCAATATTTACGCATGCACCCTCGATGTCTGGAACTAAGTCAGAACCATTTACTGAAGACTTTGCACCTGGCGTATCACATGCATCAGCAAGGAGTTAGGTGAACTATTCTTGACAAAACAGCGGCTACAGCCTCCTTACTGCAGAGTATAATTACTAAAAAGGGAACTAAATCAGCGGTTTTGAGTTTGCCAAGATCGTCGACACTACTCCCACTGCAACTACATAATTCAATCTCGCACCCTGCCTTCTGAAACAGAACAAATACGAATCCATGGCACGCACAAAAAAATTCCAGTACAAACGCAAAAACCATGACGAAGATGTTTTAGCAATAAACTAGAGTGCTCCGAAACAAATCGGAAGAATAATAAAAACCTTTCTGATTTAGCTGAAGGATCTATCGAAACTCACCAACTTCGTACCTCTCAATCGCAATCAGGCATAGTGGATAAAGAACTGAAGAGACCTTCCACCTAACTTTCCCTAGAGTCTCTAAGATTTCATGTTCATTCGAAAGTTTACCGCTACTAGTGAAGCTTCTATTTCAAAGCTTCGAGCACGCATACGGAACAGGTAGAAATAAAATTGAATAAAAGTTCACTAATGAGGAAATGGCACTTAGAAAAAATGAAAAAAACCAAGTGAGCCAAAAACAAAAAAAAACAAAACAAAACAAAACAAAACCTTCCGGATCAGATAGTTCAGAAATTTCAAAACAGGGCTCAGAACCGGTATAGAAAAACAAAATCTATGGTCGCATAAAATATCTAAAGTTCAAAGTAGTGTTTTACCCTGTACTGAGTACAGCAGAAAGAGAAACTTACTCTGCTCCTCAGTTCCATGCTTGGAGTCTGAAGCAGACTGCGGTACAACTGGTTTGCACGCGGAATCTTCATTGTGCCTGTCTGGAGTTACGACCAGTTCATGAGAACCACCACTAATACGTCTTTCATGCCCAAGTGCACGTAAACCATGCGCCGCTTCTTCAAAAAGCTCTAAATCACCACGAAAATTAACGTTTCCTGATGAAATACCATCACGGTGGTCATCGGGCACAACCGTGGAAGTACACTCATGCCCGGACAAATATATCAGCGCCAACTGTGCCTTGTCGATCTTACTTGTTTCGCTCTTGCCTCTAGCATCCCTTCTCTGAACCCAAAACAAGGATCCACCCTTCAAATTGAGTTTGCCAATTCGTAAAGATAGAACCCAGTTTTAGGGTCTATGTTCGAAAATAAAGCTTTGAACAGAGCGACAGTACTGTAATTATAGTTCTAGGAACAAACGTCAGATGTAAGCATGTATCGTAAAATACTAGAATGAATTCATATACAAAGAAGATATCACTCAAAGATGAGAAGTAAACACGGGTGATTTAAGACTAACCAACATAGATTAGTGCATAAATTCCTCAGCATACAAAACATGTGGTGATTATGATGTGACAAACCATGTACAGAGGTGATAATAAACAGTTTATGTTACCATGCACGAATAGATCCCGGCAGTACTGACCTTTGATCCCACTTGTGTCCACTGATGCGGAGGGCTCCAAGTGAAGCACGGTCGAAGATTCTTCAGGGGAACGATATCCGCGCTTCCTTCTCCATGTGGTGGAGAGGGAAACCTAATCTGCATTAAGAAGAGTCAAAGGCAATTAAAATTTTCATTAAAAAGCTCGTCACAAAAAATTGTGAAGGAGCTCATGAAAGATAACCGTCATGGTATTGTAGGACTGCACAAAACGCATAGGCAACGGCTTGAGTTCCAATCATAAACATGGGGTAGGAGGGCAAATTGGAAGTACCAAAAAAGACACATTCCTACAAGATAATAAACAACCTGTTTCTAGAAACTATTTTTTTTGTCTTACAACTGTCTCTTCTCTAAAACCTTGTAACTGTGCAGATCTCAGTGATAATGACTTCTCAGCCACAGATAAATACCAACGGTTTTAGTACAATAGCACACACAATTGAAGAATTCGCTGTGATGACTCAAACCTTGGCTCGACGTTTTTTACTTTTCATCTCAATAATCCGTGCCGTCCAGTAGCAATCGTCTTTCCACCATTCGACCATGTCTCCAACAGTGTATACATCATCGTTGTACACATAAACACATCCAGCCTTCTTCCGCCCCTCACGTATATCGTCCTGATACTTCTTAATGTCGCGCTCATGTACTAGTGGGGGCACTGGCCGTGCCATCCAAATCAAAGGCTTCTTACCCTTACACCATTTTTGAGAGCTGACTGAAGGATCTGCCTGACGGACCTTAACCCAAGAATTACCTGCAGTCGTCCACAAAGACAACCCTCAAGGTAAAACTAAAGCAAACTCATCCTCTGTTCCTACAAACTTAGGTAAGCAAAAGACTAAACATTCGATTCTAAATTATGCAATAGGAGAAAATAAATTTACACTACAGCAATCATAAGGGACATACCTTCTTCCTCGAAATCTAGGTACTCCAGCAATAAATCATAATCAGCCGTGGAGGGTTTAATTTCCAGAATCTGGACCACATCATACACATATTCGATAATGGTCATGCCAAGATTACAAACCTGCCCGTCGCACCAAATATTGTAACAACGCAATCTCCGCTCAAGGACTGGCAAACCAAAACATGTGTTCCATAGCTTTACGAAAACATACAAGCAACCCAACATCATACTCCGAAATCGAGTAAAAAGTATTTCCGAATAGAAGACGAAAAATTTTCTAGATTAACGAATACGAGAACAGAGTAAGTGTTACGACAAGCGATGAGCAATGTGCACATACCCGACAGCGAAACCAGGCCCCTCGGTAGCCAGTCTCGTTGAACTTAGCTTCCACCTCCTCGCCTACCTTAAAAGGCAGGTCGAATTTGAGAACCATTGCTAGTTTTTAGTCAGCCACTCTAACAGAGACGATTACACGACCTTCATCTGGAGGTAACCGCCTGCACCCTGACACCCAGAAAATTCATGACAAAGTGATCACAGTATGCGCCAGATTGCGTCGCAAACAGCGACCATGAAGAGAAAAACAAGGCGCACACTTGTAAACAATGCATACTTCGTATTACTTCACTCATCCAAAAATGCTGACGTTACATATTTAACAGGCACAATATGTTCCAATCTGGGGCAACAACGTGTTATGTGGCCCAATAGCTATCGACAACTCCTTCAACGTCAATTCTAGGTCCAGGTGCCGCATTTCAAAATACTGAATATAAATGAGCTCTCCATTAACAGCTGAAAATATAAAAAAGCTTTCGAAATTTGCACCCTCCCAGGTCCAGCAGACCATATGACGTAGACTTCGCATTATTGATACGTTACTTTGAATGTTAATTAGGCATCGAAGCAACACGTTCGTCTTCAATTGAAAGAGAAATTTACAACGAGCTCTGAAAATAAGCTTCCATAGGTTGCCATGCAACTATTCAGCTCCGCTGTGTCCAGAAAACATCTCAGATCCACCACTGAGCAGCCGAAGCATCCCAGAATGAGACAACCCCAATCAATACAATGAAGTCAGCTGAAACCAGTAATTCCACTTAGCCGTCCTCCAGTTATCCAAATTGGGCGCATAAACTTCACAATTCCCACTTGCTCTTTCGGAATAAATCAAATGTAGAGCAGCTTGGAGCCCCTTCGACTATTCTCATCTGGCTTGAAAATTGTAAGGTTGCACACCGAGTATCACGAGAAGCCTTTAGAAAAACTGCGGATTTAAAATCCTATCGTCGTAGTGCAATTGGTCGGGGCAACACATATATCATTCGTCCTCGGTGGCATCCAGCGACAAAATATACGCCCCCATCACCCATTTCCACCTGTCCTCGATCGACCACGGAAAAACACATACACAGAAAGATTCCTACTATTTTGCAAACCACAATCGCTGCTTTGAGAGCGAATCCGAGCCATAAAAGCCTCGAAGCGCTTCCCGACACTGTTGACTACACCTCGTAAAAGTTATAATCCAGATGCAGAATACCTCGCCAGTTCCTTTGCACTTGGCAACGCACACGTACCCTGAAATGCACCATTCCTGACGCAAAGAAAGCAACACTGGCTTCCAAAGTCCACCCTGCAACATCTCCCCTGTCACTTCTGCTTGAGTGATTAACCAACTAACCTCACAAAAAACAGTCCCGTGTTCTCAGTAGGCAGAACCCCCACCTCCACACACACACCAGCCACTCGGAGTCCACTCCAAAGCGCAGGGAGGGCCAGGCTGAAGAAAGCAAGAGCGGAGGCATACCTGAAGCCAACGGCCGGAACCAAAAGAAGAGACAAAGCACGCCAGCCACACTCGAAGACTGAAAAGGGAAGGGAAGATGTCGCAGGCATCTCATAGGGCAAGAAGCATCATAGCTTTAGACACAAGTTTCCGAATGGGGTTGCGATGAACGCAGAGAGCGCATCGACGGCCTAACGAACATGGCGATGAGGCGACCACGTAAGTGGCAGCACATTAATGCGCCGCATTTCCCGAGAGATGGCGTCAGTCCAGTGAGGGGCCCAAAAATCAAAATTAGCACTGCCAACTGCTGTCCCGAAACCTTTCCGCTCCCACGGGGATTCAGGTGTTGCATGTTGACACCCTAATTCGGATGAATATATTGATGATGGATGATATTCATACGATGTCTACGTGGATGTTCGTTCGCCTAGTGACGACACTTGTTGGCCGGTCCAAGGTTATAGAACATCCAAGTCACCGTCAGATCTTATAAGCGTGCAGTTTTCACGAAGGGGTTGATTCATAAGTAAATTTGCACTTGTCACAATATCTAACTCTTGCACGCTGATGCAGGTGGATTGTCAGCCATAAAATGACCCCTTGATCGATAGATTGTAATTGTCTTATGAATTTTGCAGTTTTGTGTCTCATATTGGCTTAAGAGCTTATCAGAAAATAAATTGATTTATTTCTATACGAATAATAGGGAACTTGAGTGAATTCTGTCCTCAACGTGAAGAACCAGTGGAAAAGTATATTTTTGGAGTAAAACCACTCAAAATAAAATAGAGATAAAATGAAGAACTAATAAGTGAGGTTGGAGATCCTAAAATTATACAATCCATTACATTTGTAGATAATGTCAAAAATAACCACAAGATTGAAATCATGTAGACCTGTGTAGACAAAATCTAAATGTTATTAATATAAAAATAAATAAATAAATAAACAAAAAAAGCAAAAAAAATTAATCACATCATTTAAATTACACATTTTACTAATTACTATAATAGGTAGTACATAATAAGTATGGCTTAATATTAATTTATATGTTACTATGTAATTTTTTATAAATAAATATTATATTGTATAATTGTGTTTTAGAATTCATTAACTAAAACACCAACATAAATTAGTAAGATTTATTTTTATAGTAAATATAGCAACTAAAAAAACATAAAGTGTACCAAAATTATTTTTAAATTAAAAGATTAAAGGATTCTTACAATAGTATAAACAAAATTTAATATCAATATATTATTATATAATATAATAATATAAAATAAAAACCATTTAATTTATTTATATATAATTATAAATATATATATAAAGAAAATATAAATTAATAGAATATATATAGAATATATATTAAATAAATGATGTCTTCATCTCAAATATTAATAAATCTTTTTGAATGGAGATTGAATCTATATATGCTTCTAAATATGTGATGTAGATATGATAATTTATAATAGGATTTAATACTTTAAATAGTTATCAAAAAATATTATATAATTTAAATACGTAATATATAAGCCAAATAAATCTTATAAAGCTTCTTATGGGATCTTTTATAACTTAGTAAGTAAGTCTTGTAGCTTACTTATGTAGCAAGGTATTGAAAACTTGGTATCATCAATATACTATTATGGATATAATTGACACTAGGAATTATTTAAATAAGTAAAAAATTAGGTAGAAATAAGTAAAAGTAGATAAATAATATAATATCTTGCAAAAATTCTTTTTAGAAGCTTTATAGATGCAAATTTGAATTTACATATATTTATAGATGATTGATAAATATCATAGACATCCATATTTATTCCAATATTCATCTAAATAATATGAGTAGGTAGAAGTAAATAAATTTAATAATATCTTATAGACTATCTTCTTAGAAGCTCTATGGATGTGGCTTTGCCTTTAAATGTGACTGTAGATGATTGGTTGATTAAAAAATTAGACAAAAATTTGGCTACATGTAGTGTATGTCAATAACTTGTAATACAAGTTGGACATGTAGTACACATATAGGAAGCTTACCTTACAAGTTGAACAAGTATTGGAGGTTCTATAAAACATTGTCATGTAGCCCTTAATTAGATAATATATACAGAGATAAGAGTGAGGTCTTTCTCACTCTTGTCAATTTCTTTTCTATTTTTAGATTTATTTTAAGAATCTCTAGATTTTTATTCTTTGATAATAGCCATTCTAGTCTCTTCTTTAATATATATACTTTCTTATTTTTATTTTGTCTTCTCTTTTTTATACATATTTACTTGTTTACATATTTTCTTTGAATTCTTATCTTTGATAAATTAATAAGAATACACTTACAATTTTAGAGCTTTGTCTTTTTTTGATTAAGAATGGATTATCCCTTTTTCTTAATAAAACATAAACATATTAAAAGTTGTGGATTATTCACTTCTATTCTAATATTATTCTTAATTTTTTATTTAATTCTCAAATTATGTCTTCTATTTATTTAAAGATATTTTTATATATATATATATATATATATATATATATATATATACTATAATAAAACTTATTAAAATGAAGAATAGAATAATACAAATATAAGAAAGATGATACATGCAATGCAACAATTGAATTTACTACAAAGAACAATATGATTGGCAGGAAGTAAAGATATAGAAATGATTGGCATTACTTCAACATTTATACCAAATCATGTTGCTTTTCTTGTAGTAGAATACTTTTCAAGTGTTAAAAGACAAAGAATTATTTTACTTAAGAAGTTTAATGGCATAAGATCAAAATTTTGGGAATTCATCAATTAAGTATAATTAGTGATTAAACTTTAATCTCAAATCTATCCAACTCTAAGATCTTAAGTCAATTTTATTAAAATACTATTTTTAAATTTTACATTATCATGATTTTTAATTTTTTAAAATAATATGATCTTATATTGAATAATTTAGAAAATATTTTGACAAAGTTTTGATCTATATATACAAAACATGATACAATTTGAATTGTAAGTAATAAAATTCATATTTTGCAAAGTGATAATCAATTAGTAATATGCTTCATAATTTTAATAACTTGTAACTGAGATCAAATACAATGATGATACACTTATAAGCTAATTTTTTATAGATTAAAATATAAAATAAAGAAATTGATGCTAAACTTATCAAGTCCTCAAATATTAAATCAAGCAATTGACTTTGCTATGAAGTATGATAATTAATTATTTGAATTTCAATCTTAGAGTTACATAAGTAGAGTCCAAAATTTTTATAATTTGATGGGAATAAAATTGCCTTCTTAATATATATATTTAAAAGTATAAAATATACAAATTGATGCAATATTTTTTAAATCACTTATTGAGCAAAAAAAAGACTCATTATTCTTAAGAAGGATTATGCTCATATTATGAAAAACCTAAGCACACTGCTCAATATCATCTAAAAGAGTAAAATAACTTCAAAATAAAGAGTATGATTGTGAAAGAAGAAAGTATGTTAAAAAATAAGTTTGATTAACTATAATAAAGACCATGCATTTAGAATCTTATACAACACCTAAAAATGGTCCTATTTTGTCTTTAAAATCTTTTATTTTACTTTATTATAGATGTTAATTTAGGACCTAAGTATTACAAAGCGTTTGTCTTATTAGATTTAGGAGCCTCAACTTGTTTTTAGATAAAAATTTTGTTAAAAGATATAACATACCTTTATTGAAGAAAATTAAATTAATACATGTAGAAATCACAAATAGTTGTCTGTTGTCTTTTGAAAAAATTATACATAAAATTCTTCCTATAAAAATAAAAATTTATAGTCATTATAGCTTTTTAATATTTAATATTATTAGATCTTCTTCTAATCTTCTCATTTTAGATTTATCATGGCTAAAAAAAATATAATCCTCAAATAAATTGGATTTCTTGTAGTCTTGACTTTTTTCAAAATATAACTAATAATTTTATCACTTAAATAGAAAGTCTTAAGTTTAGTGCAATCAAATCCTTATTTGTAGCTACAAGAATTATCTTGCATGCTATATAAGAAGTATTATCTTATGTTATTTATACTATATTTATTTTAATAATAAAAAATTTTTAAATGATATTTTAAGCTAATAATAAGATTTTTGAGATATTTTTGAAAGAAGAATACATTATTCTTTTGGAGCATTACATCTATAATTGCTTAATTGACCTTTAAGAAGCTACTAAATTACAATTTGGATTAATTTATAGTTTATTTCAATATGAGATGGCTAAATTCAAGGAGTATACTGTAGAAAATTTGGCTAAGAATCTCATAAACTATTTTAAATCTGCAATACAAGCTCCAATCATAGTTGTGAAAGAAAAAAAGATAGATCGTTATGAATGCTATGAATATTTAAGAAGAAGATTTTGGAAATATTCATAATTTTTTTATTAAATTTTAGAAGATTCTAGAAGACAATAGATTTTTTTTAGAAAGTTTTAAAATATTCTTAAAATATTTTAGTAGATTTTTAAAAGTTCTAGAAAAATTTTAAAAACTATTTGAAAAGATTTTTAGAATTGTTTTATCTTTAAGTAACATAAAAACTTCTAAAGAAGCTTCTTAAGATTGCTTTGTCTTCAAGCAACATAAAAACTCTTAAAAAAACTTTCTAAGGTTGCTTTGTCTTGAAGCAACATGGAAACTTTTCAAGAAACTTACTACAATTGCTTCATCTTTAAGCAACATAGAAACTTCTTGAGAAGCTTTTAGAATTGTTTCATCTTCAAACAACATAAAAACTTCTCAAAAAGCTTTTTAAGATTGCTTCATTTTTAAACAACTTAAAAACTACTTGAGAAGCTTATTGAAGTTGCTTTGTCTTTAAACAACATGAAAACTTCTTGAAAAGCCTTATGAGGTTGCATTATCTTCAAGCAATATAGAAATTTCTGAAGAAGCTTTTTAAAATTGCTTTGTCTTCAAGCAATATAAAAACTTCTTGAGAAGCTTTTTAAGGTTGCTTCATTTTTAAGCAATATGAGAATTTTTTGAAAAAATCTCTTAGGATTACTTTATCTTCAAGCAACAAGGAAACTTCTTAAGAAGCCTTTTAGGATTTTTTTGTCTTGAAACAATACCAAAACTTCTGAAGAAGCTTCTTAGGATTGTTTTATTTTCAAGCAACATGAAAACTTTTTAAAAAGCTTCCTAAGATTATTTTATCTTTA